CTGCCGGGCGAAACGGCTCCGAAACGGCGCCTGCTGCGCAGCCCGAGGCGAAGAGCAAGCCGGCACTCGTCTGGAGGCCTTCGACCAGCAAAAGGCCACGCGCTGCTCTGCTCATTGGACATGACCAAGACGAGCCACAAATCTATCTCTATGCACATGTATATATAAATACATATACATATGCATGTATGTGTATATATATATATATATATAAATATACAAATACAATCAAATACATATATGCCTGTGTACTTACCGTAGAAGAGAACGTAAGTACTTAACACGACAATCACATCGGGTGCCTATCACCTGCCCAGCACATTCCGAGCCCCAGCCTGCAGTGTTCCCGGCGTTTCGGACAACGTCAATGGCGCACCTTTGATTATAGGATGAGCGATTAGGATTAGGGTCCCTTTAAGGGGTTTCCCCAATACATCCTAATACTACCTAGGAGATGTGCTGCCAAAGTCCGAGGTCTGCTGTTTCGGGATCTAAGACTGGGCCAGAAAGACACCCTTTGCCAGCAAAACGCATCTCGGAATCCAAGCACTCCTTCTGCATCGGCTTCGTGCATTCATCTCATTCCCATGCCAACCTTTTGCTACACCCCATACACTGGACATAAGCTGTGCAGAAGTCACATCTCAACCGCTGCCACGGGGTTGGCTGATGCCACCGCGCGGTAGCCATGGGCACGTAAGGCCTTCGCCGCTGAACCTGGGCTGTGGTTCGCAGCGTGCAACTTTCATGGACTTAGAGTCTAAGTACACAGCACCCCGGGCAGGGAGCTCGGCACCCCATCATGATATTGATGAAAGCTCATTACAGCCATTTGCTTGAAACAGCTTCTTAGAACTTTGTATGCTGGTATCTACACATCTGTCATCTGTCTATGGATTTGCATCACCTGCCTTCTCTTCTTCTCAAGCTTCACGTACCTTCTGTCGGTCCGGTCAGTCAGTCTGTCTGCCTTTCTGTCTCTCTCCATCCGAGCCTCTGTCACTCCGTAGGTGGGCCGGCTTGTCGATCTACACATCATGCAGATCTCTCTCACTGACTCACCCACTCAATGTCCGATATGTCTCTTTGTGTCCCTCTTCCTCTCTCGACCCCTTTCTCTCAATCACGTCACGGTGAGGAACTTACTCCGACGAGGCTGTCGAGAAGCGGATGGCTAGGCTCTTGTCGTTGCTGAAGGTGGGCAGCGCGAGCGGGTATGTTGCAACAGTGGCCAGGGTCACCTGAGTGCATCGAGTCATCTGCCAGAGCAACTGGCATCTTAAACTCCACCGCTGGGGTCGAAGGACCCTTCGCAAGATGATTCGAACATCGACCCGGTTCAGATCCGGCATCAGTTTCCACATGCTCTGGCGCAAGAACAGGTTCCTGTAATTCCTCATCGGCAAGGTCCCGGTCCTAGAAGCAGACACAGGTTCCGAAGACTCGTTGGGCGTCATGCCAAGTGGCGGCAGCAGAGGCGCAGCTGAACCTGCCTGCGGAATACTCGACACTCCGACAAGAGAACCAGTTTGAGGGCTCGGACTCCAGGCAGGACCAGGATTGCATGGCTTCGGCTTCGGGAAAGAGGCCATCACGTGGGCACACGAAAACCGGCAGAAAGAATCCCAATTCTTGAAAGCTACTCATTGGATCCAGATTGTCCGCGGTCTCCTTCCCTGAGCTTGTTGCGGAGAAATGCAAAAGGTTGACCTCGGCTCGGGAAGTCACTTCACTTTCAAGACTTCTGCTGGCTCGTCTACGGCCAAGGACAGGACATACAGCGAACAGCAGATGGCGCCGAAGGGAAAGTCGGCGGAGAACTTCACGGCATTCCTGGCAACTGTCGGCGCCACTTGCCTGGCCAGCTCTTGGATTGCAGGCTTGCGCGTCGGGCAGCCCATGAGGTCGGCCACGGATGCGGCCACTGTGCGATGAGCCACGCAGGCGAAGCCTCCGGCGACAGCTGTCTGCCAGAGCGGCAGGGCCAAGCCGAATGTCAGGCCTTCAGTCCTTTCCTTACTCGGCTGACTCTGCTGCATCTCTGGCAGAGGTCTGCCGGCAGGCTGATGTGGCTGATTGGTGGGCACGCCCTTCTGTACAAGTCTGGGCTTCCACCCTGTTCTTAAACTTCGTGCTCCTGGCACTTCGGTGGGAAAGCCCCAGAAGTCGAGTTGAGGCTCCACAGCCGGCTCCACGGCAGCACTCAGTTCTGGCGACGGGCCAGAGATTTCAGCCTTCCGCAGTCGAGGCTGTTTGGCAGCTTGTGCGCACCGCGCAGGACGGGCTTTAGGCTTTGCTAATGCTCACGAAGACCGCCGAGCCTCGTCCGAAGTGGTGCATGTGTTCATCTCTGGCTCCTGCACGTGTCCTCACGTGGCAGGAAGCTGGCAGAGCCTACCCGCGACTCATCGAAGCAGATACGCCCCCGAAACATCCCATCCTCTCGAAAACCACTATAAGCCGGAACCCTGCAGACCTCCCGGCAACGGCTCAAAGCCCTCCAAGCCCGCCAACGGCGGTGCGCTTGGCACCTTGGCGCTGTTTGCGGAAGGCTGGAGGAGCCAGAGCCTCCCCTGCTGGACCACGAACTCCACGGCCTGGATGTCCTTGTGGCCTGCACGGGCCAGGACATCCTGGCAGTGAGCCAAGCCAGCGCAAACCGGCAGCAAGGTTTCTTCCAAAGAGGGGAACTCAGACGAGCGAGTGCCCTCGGCAATGCCCTCTGCCTCAGCCCACTTCTGCGATGCCTGCAAAGTCAACTGCTGATCAGGCCGCTTCTGGGCTGAGATGTCCTCTCTTTGTGCTTTCGGCAGCCAAGTGCCCGAAAAATCGCAGGGCGTGCCATCTGTGTTTTGCAGCATGAGCTTGCCAGCTCCTGAGTGGAAGTCGTAATTCCCAAACACCATCGCTTGTACGATCGCAGCCCCCGAATCCGAAATTGATTTGCTGTGAACGGCCTCCATGGCCTTCTGTAGCTGCACAGTCGGATCTTGCGGAAACACGTCCCCTGTCTGCTGTTGGTAGATGTCCTTGTAGGTCTCAACCAACTGCTGCAAATCGTTGGTTGGAATTTGCCAGACGTCGTGCTTCCGTCCCAGCCAATCCCTCGCATTCAAGGCTTCGGTGACTTTATCCAACTCTAGCTCGAAAGGAGTGCTGTCGAGGTTATGGACCACCTGGGCATAGGACACGATGAGCCGGCGATAGGAATCCCAGACGCAGTTCGGGTTCTGACGAGCTGCAAGGTGCTGAGCGATTTCATCGCTGAGCCCAATGCTGGAAACCTCCTGCTGGGCATTCCGTACCGACAGCAGCAGCGGAGCATTGGGATTCCCAAACTCTTGTTGCATTGCTGCCTCCACCTGATTTAAAGCTGTCTTGGCACAGGGCCACAGCTCCCAGGGCTCCGGACCAGCCTTCAAGCAGAAGCCCGGAGGCACGGGAAGCCCCAAATTCGCTAACTCGCAAAGCTGGGCCGCCTGCCAGCCCAGAACCTTCACTAACCCCAGGTGCCCATCGGAACCACCACGACCGAAGAAGCAGGCCTGATCAAAGCCTTTGCTAGAGATCGTCATCGGGCGCATCTGGTCTATGGCGGCCGTGGTATCTTCCTCGAAGCCGAGGACACCCTTGTTCTGAAGCACGTGCCGGATCCTACGCTTTACAGATGGTCCAGATGCCGAGTTGTCGAGGATGCTCCCGAGTGTGTTTCCACACTGATCCACGGCTGTTCGCACGATCTCCTCATCTTGCAGCTGCTCAGAGACATACTTCAGCGAGTGTCCGTTGGCTCCCACTGCAGATAAGACGAAATCGCGGTCTGCCTGGAGGAGATCCGAACAATACTGGAAAGCGCGGCCACACTGGGAGACTGCCGCCAAGGCGACTTCCACATCGGCCGTCAGCTCAGCCACAGCAAACTTCAGAGCTAAGCCATTCTGCTTCACCGCTTTCTCAACCACAGCCCGATCCGCACGAAGCTCCTCCGAGGCATGTTGCAAGGCCCAGCCCGAGCTGGTCACGGCCTGCAGCACCACCTCACGATCGGACCAAACTTCCCCAGGCTGGTTCAGCAGCTCGCTCCAGTCCTAAAGGGGAAAAAGAAGGAAGCCTCCACAAAATCCCCCTCCCTCCAGCCCTCCCTTCGATGTTCACTCTTATCTCCTCCTCTGCGAGGCGGAGCCACTCCACCTGCTCTAAAGAGCGGCGAACTAGCGTCAGATCCAGAGGATCGTCTGGGGGCTCGTCTGCGCACAGTTCCTCGAGGAGATCGGCATCGCTTAACTCACCTTTGCCGTTGTACACTTGGGGAAGAATCTTCGTTTAGCTGGCATGGATTCCATACATTCATGGCACGGGCTCAACGTTAAAAAGGAAAGTCTGCATGCATATCCAAGCTGTTCAAGCCAGATTGCGCAAGCCGTAAATCAATCGCTGTTGGCGCCAGGAAATTCCTTGATCATCCTTGCAGGTTCCAATATCTTCGCGAGGGTTTCTCTTCGCATCATGTCGTCTCAGATCTACTTCACAAAATGTACTGCGGTCGAAAACTTGACTGCGGAACCTGCCTGGATGGCATGCTTGAGCTCTCGAAGGGACCACGACTTGCAGGCATGCACTGTGCACAAAAGTCCAGATGGTCCGCTGATGGCGACGCTAAGAGGCCCGGCCACCGCAGACCGTCGTGGAACAGGCTCCATCGTTTCAATACTTCAAACGCAACTAAAAAAGTCTCCCGTAGCACTGTCTTTGGCTCGAGACAGCTGGCGGATATGTCGTATATCGCAAGCCTTGGATCAAGAGCCGACTAGCTGGTGCGGAGATCTGCACAAGGTCACAAGACGTTGCAGGCATCTTTTCCTGATCATTTGGCACCTGCATTGTGACAGCTCTCTCCTTCAGAGATGCTGTGATACCTTTGGCCGGTTGTCAAACAAGCATTGATTCTCAATTGCCCACCTGCCGGGCTCTGAGCGGTTCTCATGCAGCCAATCAGAACTTCAAGTCACACGATTGTACCGACAGACGTACGCCGGGTAAACCTGATCTTCGTCAAAGACGACAATCTCACGGTACCTCATGCACGAGTGCATGCGGACAGTTTGGGCAGGACTCTGGCGAGAAAGGGGTCATGCCTGCAAGATGCTACTTGCAATGATAACCTGGTCGGTGCAAGTGGTCTGGCAAAAACAAGCTTTCATTCGCCCTGAGAGAAACGTCCCAGCACATCACACAGGATGGCTTGCCGTGCCGCAGCCAGATAGTTTACCGGAGCGCCTACGCTTTATGCCACTTCGTGAACCCAAAGAAGCAACCGGAAACCTGAAGTCAGAGCCCTCTCCCACAGTTCAGAATGATTCCAGAGGCGAGCTGCGTGCCCCGGATCTTTTCCTGCCGCCGTCAGACTTATGTTTTCAGTTTTCCTCACACTCTTTCAAGGGTTGCCCTGGCACATAGACGTAGCAATAGAGATGTAGCCCGACACGCTATGAGGGACGAAGCTTGTGCAGATTCTCATAGTCTCCACCTATGCTTGTATGCAGGTATGAACAGGTATACCTGTATGTGTGTGTGTCTGTGCGAGTGCACGTGAGCAGTTTGTACGTACACGTGCGTCCCAACGTAGATATTGGTGTGCCTGTTGGTGCTCATGTTCTTGCGCAGGGACATGTGAGACATCTTGCATGATGTCTGGTGCGTGGTGAGCGACGCTTCGAGCATGTTGTCGCACCGTGCGAATAGAAAGGAATTCAGAACACAACACATGTAACCAAGAGAGGACAGGCTCGAAACCACAGCACGAAGTGCGAATTGCAGAGCGCATGCTTGATAACTTCATGCTCGGCAGTCTGCAAAGGTACTTCCTCTCTCTTCCCAGGCTTGCTTTCAACCCATCGCAACTCTACCCGACGCCACTGCAGAGCATGCTGTGCTGAGTTTGCGGAGTCTTTGCGGAGCCCTAAGCTTTGAGCGGCCGAGTCTCCCGGTCACCGAGGATGCTATGAAAGCCACCGCCCTTGCAGGATGCCTCGGGACGTGCTGGACTCAGCCCTCCCTTACCTAAACCTCCTTTTGGGCTCCCCAAACCACACATCAAACCAAAAGTCTCCCCGGCGCCATGGGAGGCAAGAAGGTTCCGGGAATGGCTTTCTTCCTTCGGGCTGCTGCAAGCTCATCACCATCGGGCCGCTTCTGATCGTTGTAATTCCTTGCGAGAGGGCGAAAGATGTCCGGCTGCTTTCAAGATCCGGTTTCTAAGAACCGTAACGGAGGACAGAAGGCAAGAACGCTTCATGGGCAGCGAAAAGCTTCCAAGGATCGTCACATGCTTGAAAAGGGCGAGTACATCCAAGCTGGTTCTAGCTTTGACCTTCACTCTCCCCTGAAACCTCCCGTAGCCTGTTAACTGCGTGCAGCTACAAGTATGCCAGCAGTCAGTCCACCCAATCTGGTCTCTTGCGGGCAGAAAGTTCTAGGGCAGTGAAACCAGACTGGTAGCTGAATCGTCCGACCACCTCGCAAAGCCCAAAACAGGCGATTCCTCACAGCAAACACCCTGCAGTTGGCTGATAGCTGTAGCGGTCTAGCCTTCACATGTGCTGCCCATGCGCCCACAGAACCATGAACACACCAAATGCTGCCAAAATGCACTTGCCCGAGGGCACTTAAGCAAATCAGCATGCTCCGCAGGCCATTGGGGTGCGGTGTAGTATACTCATCACTTTTGGACACAGCCTCACGGGTTCAATAAGAAGCTGGCATGAATCAAACCAACTGAATCACGACTCGTGTATGGGGCCGCCACACGCGCTTTTCAGCTTCTGTGCGCAATGCGCACACACACACACACAACACATCCTCTGATTTTCTGAGCAGGCGGTGTTCTGAAACTGTCCATGCTATATAGCCTGAAATCTCGGGCCTCCGCCAAGTACACACCATTGCCTGTCAAAGCCGCACAGACAGATACAAAAACAACTGGCGCGCGAAGACGGGAGATACTAGGAAACTATTGGTAAGCTCCGGACCATACAAAGTTCCGGCATTGCTGCCTGCCATATTCAGTCGGAAGTCGCCTTCCGTTATTCCAGCCTCGCCAGCCAGAGATGTGCCGTGGAAAAGCCAATGCTCGTTGGGACCTGGCTCTGTCCCTGTCTGCCAATCAGGCGGCTCGCCAAGTGCGCTTTTGTCTGTCTTCAACTCGCCAACCCAGGAAGTACCACCCTTCGCCATGTCTTGCAGCACTGTCTGCCGACGACGAGCATATTCCCCCCAGCTCCCGCAGTTGTAGACTTGCTCCACCTCTTGGACTTCCAAGGACTTGGGAACACTCTCGCCCCTGCGGTCTCGAGTGTAAATCCCTAGGAAAGTCTTTTCGAAGAGACCTTGCAGCCATAGGAACTGAGGATGATCGGCTGGGAGTGCCTTTTTGATGACTATGTCACCCGCTGAAAAGACAACATCACTGAGACCTTCACCACCACCTGCAAGTCCTTGCTTCAACAGGTCCAGAAGATTCCAACCGCTCGGAATTTGAAGCTCCTGGCAGTACCAACTGACCAACGTCTCCAAGTGCTCGCCAACCATGCCCATCGCCAGTGAAGCCATTGTCGCCGGGCCTGAAGCTGGCTCGTCGTCGCCGTCTCCACTCGAGCTCTTAGCGGCAGAACTCAGTCCAGCTACGACGAATAGAGCATATCTCACGGCATCGGAGGTGCTGAGGCCGTCCGCAAGCGACTCTTTTCCTTGCACAGCCGCGGAAATCTCTCACCGTCTCTTGATGTTGAGCCTAATTACGAGCTGAGGGCTGTCGTGACGCTGGCTGTCGGTCTGTCTTCTGGCTGGAGTTTCTGTCCTGCTGCCCCTCCTAGGAATGCATAAATCCGAAAACCCCAAAACCCTAGATGATCACACCACACTCCACCAAAACCAGGCGTCCAGAAGCACAAGCCTCCGCGGCCCACTGCAGCCTGGCCGAAATTTCCTGTGAAAGCAGGTTCTCCAGCTCCTTCCATGTGCTTTGGGATGAATCGCCACTCGGCTGGGTTTGGCTTCAAGGATTTCATAGTTTTACGGATAGTTGTCCTGTCGACACAAGCACCAGCAAGACGAATGTATCGTTCATTGGGAAGCTGAGAAGATTGAAGCTTGGTTTGCCTGCTGCGAGTCTCATGCACCCTCCACAGAGCACGACCTAGCCTTCTGACGCATGCTCGTCCGGACCACAAGCACCGAGAGCGGGAATTCCGGACAAGCCTTCTCGCTACCGTCATCTTCGTTACTGCAATGGTTCCAAGCATCAAGACTCAATAGGCCCTGAGGTACTGAAGCCCCGACTAGCCGTAGCCTCGAAATCCCCCCAACTCCCGAACCCAAAAATCCCGGCTCCGTCGGGCTGAGCAACTCGCTGCAGTCGGCTTTACCTTTGCCCGCACGGCTCACCAAGCGCAGCAGCTCCCAGAAGTCGCTCTGCAGAACCTTCGAGCTGCCATCAGGAACCATGACGACGACGACTAGGACGAGGAGAACGATGCACACGATGATGGAACGGATTACGATGGTGATTCAATGCTGATGGTCAGGACAACCACGACGATTACGACCTCCATGGATCGCTTGGCATGTGATTCTGACAGTTTCATCTCAGCACCAACATGCTTGAAGAGAGGGGGCACGGACTGATTATTGAAACCTCCCGCAACCTACAATGCCGCGATGATCCGCGATGTGTCAGAGATTGGTTGGTACTCACGGTGAAGTCTGCAGGACAACAATTACGAATGGGAAGATAAACTGTTTTTCATACAGTCGTCAGCGATAACGTGGAGCCTGGAGGTAGACAGCTTCCCATTCTGCCCCGTAAATCTGCCGAACACGTGGCGTCATGCAACTGCTCGTCTAGCGTCTAGTTTCTAGCAGTTACAAGTGCAGTGTACTGCTTCGCTTCTGCATCGCCTGCGCTGGGAGGTCGCCGACTCGGCTCGACAGGATACTGAAGAATGAGATGATGGCGAGGTAACGATGTCTACCGCGACGACGGGGAACGAAAACAATGATTCCGGCTAAAACGCAGGACATAGGCAAGGAGGAATCAAGCAGAAGAACACAACTGCAGGCATCCGCCACGATGTGCTACATCCCGCCTTCCCAATGGAGCTGATGCTCTTGACCTGAACTTTGGTCTCCCCCTCGCGCCCGAGGTTCACTCTAGGGTTGGCAGCCGCAAAGGCAGCAGCTTCCTGTACAAAGTGGCGTGCCTCCGATCCATGCAGGCCTTCCCTGACCAGCGGAGAAACCAGAGCCGTCACCTTCCCTCTTGGAAGCTCTTCTGTCGGAATTGTTCGGACGCCTTCGAATTCGATGGCGAGTCTCATCAAGCGGAAGAGGTCCGCCATATTCTCGGGCTTCACAGCGTCACATGCTTCGCAGATGTATTCGTACATGAACGTCTCCAATGCCTTCTGGGTTTCCGGGTTGTGCTTGGAGCATTGGCACGGCAGGGCCCGGCCGGGAACATTGTTCACCGGCTCGAACAATGCTTGCGGATATGCCTTTGCAACCATCACGACTGTCTCAGTCTTCATGCTCTTGTTCTCAGCCGCATAGTGCAGTGGTAGGCGCTTGGCATACGAAGTTTTCAAACTCAGCATCTTACCCCACAGTGACAGGTCAACCCCCTTGTCTACGAGAAACGGGATGAACCTGTGCAATGAATCCTTCTTCGCCACGCATGCGGCATGGATAGGGGCGAACTCGCCGCCAAGACTTCCTTCTTCTTCTGCAACGGTTGACACGGTGTTAAAGCTCTTAGCGCCTTCCGCCAATCTCTCAAACATCGCTGCTGCCTTCTCAGGGTCTTTCACCTTCATCAAGGCGGTGGTCAAGAGCTTCGCATTACCTGACTTCGGAAAAGAATGGCCCAAACTAAACAAGCACGCTAGGCCGCTAGGCTTCCTTTTTACATTCCTTCCAAGGCTCCCGGGATGTTGTATTTGGTAACCAATGTATCGATCATGTCGGTGTCACCGGAAAGGACGAACTCCTGCATGCCATCCTGCAGCAAGCCTGTCGAAAAGTCGTACTTCAACGCCCTTTCAACAAGCAGAACAATGCAGTTCCAATGCCGCATCTTGATTGCTGCCATCAGTGGATTCACCTCTGGATCATCTCGGCCGATGTAAGGCCGAACGCCCAGAGACAGGAGTGTCTCTAGAGTTTCTGCATTGCCGGCGAGGGCCGCAGTCACTGTTGCTTCTCTGGCACCCGACTTGCCGATGCACTTTGGCCACTTGTCAATCAACTCCTTCACTTCATTTGCATCCCCTTCGGCGGCCAAGCCATTCAGCTTGTCAAAGAACCAGTCTTCATCAGACCGGTGCCCATGCTTGGCCCCTTCTATTCGCTTGGCGTCAGCTTCATCAACTGATGCTTTGACTCTGGGACTCTTTGTCTCAGGTGCCTTGCTGGCACCGCTGCCCATGCCGAGGCCTCGACAGACTCTACGGATCTGAGCCGAAGTCTGCGCCAGAGAAGGCCACATGATACCGTGCAAACAATTTACCTTTCGTAGGTCCCTGCCAGTATCAGCTGTAACACTAGGATATCTTAAAGCCATCTGAACGATCTCAGCTCGTAACCACCTTCGGCATCTCTTGCAGTTCTGCCGTGGTACTGCAGGACCCTGTCAACGTCAATACAAGAATCGCTTTGGTCCCGTTCCGAGACCCTGAGTCCTGCCGCAAAGCCCTGAAGAGTGCAATCAGCAACCAGATAAAACTATCAAACAACTCTTGTTGCATTCAAAAAAGATTCCTCCCAACTACTGCCGAAAAAATCCAGAAATTTCCTGCAACCATCCGTAAGGTGCTGCCATTTTCGTGGCTGTGCCGCGCCGTGGTCGCAAATCCCCTGGCTGGGGAAGAGCTCCACCATTCTGCGCGCGGAGAAAGGCTCCGAGTCTGCCTCCCAGGAACTGCCGAGACAGGCTTTTTTCATACACTAGAATATCATGTAGTAGTGTAACAAAATTTTATAAAATATAGAAGTTACCACGTCCAGTTTTAGGATCCTGTCTTCGGGTCAGGGGATGGAACGTGTGCCTGCCTCCAAATCGAAAAACAGGATGGGTGTGGACTCGGCTCGACCGCAAGCCTTGTCGTAACTGTCTCGCATCTTCCGAAAGACTTCGTGGCGACAACTCTCTACCTGAAGGCTTGCACAAGACCGAGACTTGCGAATTCGATGACATGAACTGGCGTGAGCTCTGCACTTCAAGGAGGACCGTCTATGAAAGGCCAGGGTCAGTGTTTCAACAACCTCACGCCTGGCGGCCATGCTCGTCCAGCGGAGCCGGAGGCTGCACACGTGCAAAAGCAGCTAGGCCGTTTGTTCTGCACTGCCAGAGCCGCAGCTGATTCATGTTGAACCTGCTTTGGATGCCTTGCTTCTGCATCTCTTCAAAGAGCATTGCCGGAGTGCCCACTTGCACCATAACCTGCAGGAGCGGCGCGGTCCGAATTCACGCCACCGTATATCTTCCGTGAGCTTAGGGTTTCAACTTTCTCGATTACTTCGCCCTTCGAAGCAGATCGCAGAGAGCTAGGGCAGCTAGGGCGGACACCCGACCGGAGCAAGCGGAATCGAACAGAACGCAATCGAAAAGAAACAGGCAGAAAGACTATGAGACATGCCCACCTCGTTGTACCCGAGGTTGTGATGTCTCACTCCAGCTGCCACTTGGCTGGCAGACGGCTTCGGGTTGAAGCGCTTCTGATCTGCAACAAACCTGGACATCGAAACTCAGTTCCGTCCCTTGGAAAGAAACAAGGCAGCCATGCGTATTTCGCAAAGTGTCGAAGCCGCCCCTCAACTGCGAGGGAGGCCCAAGCCCAAACCATCTTTCTCTTTCAGGCGAACCCTCCCCCGCGCTCAGACACCAATTTCGCCCATCGAGCTCCAAACTCAAAACCCGAGATCCCATAGAGAGTCACTACCACAGCACCGCTTTGCGCGATGCGCCTCTTCAAGCCCGGCGCATCTGGGTCAAAGCGGCCACTAAAGTCGAGCTTCGGGGGCAGAAACTTGCGGTCCACGCGCCAAGAACCATGGCCTCCTCGAAGATCCTTACGAGAGGCTACCAGTACTTGTTACTTCTTTCTGGCAGGGTTTTGAGGTCAAAGTGCTTGGGCTCGCCGCTCGGGGTTCCCAAGAATTCGCACTCCCCGCTCCGGCAATGGAGGGAAAGCCTATGAAAGCCCTGGGTCTGAATAAACGAACTTCAGCCTTTGTTCGGGCGAGTAAAAGGAACAAGCGTCCTGGTTCCCACACCTGACACAAGATGATCACTTCGTGCGAGCAAGATGCAGAACCAGGCATTTTGAAAGTGCAGTCATCCGGCGAATTCAAGCACCTGGATACTTCCAAGCCGGCCGAGCCTCGCCAATCTTCCGCGCAACCAGTGAACTCTCCTGCCTGGCTTGCTTTGGGCGCTCAAGGAAAGCTGCAGAGTTTCACAATATGATTCGGTGTGTTAGGTGTTCCGCCCCCACTGGCCTGATTCGTGCCAGCATCCTCGATGAAGGCACAACCCACGATGGGGTTGGGCTGGAACACCGCAAGGATCTTATGCGATTCCGGGGTCCTCCCACAGGCATAGCGGTTGCAGCCGTACAGAGATGTCCCTGCTTCACGCAACTCGTTGTCCGTTTCACCAGCTCGGTACGGACTTGCAAGTTCTTCATTCACAAATGAGGCCGACGTAAACCAATTCCCTGCGATTCCATGGCCGGAGCTGTGGTTTTTGCACCTTGGCCACTCTTCCAAATTCCAGCCCAAGCTCAGATAGCCTTCCTGTTCCGGCTGCTGCCCATGCCGGAGACCCAAGACTTGCGAAACTTTCTTATCGAAACCAGTCTTGTGAATACCTCCTGGCCTTGTGGCTAAGAGTTTTACGATGACTCCATTTTGGAAGCGCTTGTTCAGCGCATCAGCAAGACTTTTGTCACGCTGGAATTGAGCCTCCTCCTCCAACGCGTTTCGAGACGTACCAGAACTTGCACATGCAACTGAAGTTGGGAAGCTGGACGGCCACATGGGCAACTGCGCTGCCTTCAAGCACCCTATATAGAGCCCATACAAACAAAGCCGAACCAGAAAGCTTGCCAAGGGGACTCGAGCCGAAAGTGCACTTTTTCCAGAAATGCATGATCTGTTGCGCTACCGCTGCAGATATTGTTTCGGGCTGGGATGTCAAGTTAGGGTTGAGACTTCGAAAATCTGGCCAAGCCTTGTGCTGCACACTCTCTTTGAAAGTTGGGCTGAACAGCTGCAAATTGGGTGGTCCGCTCGCACGGGACACAAAACCCAGATTAGGAAACCAACCTGACATACCATGCAGCTGTTCATCCAAACGCAGCCCCAAGGATAAACCGTAAACCAGAAGCTAGAAGCTCTGACGAGCTCTAGCACCTACTGCACAGGCTTCAAGGCGTTCCGATGAGTAAGGGCTCGTTGCTTTCCACTTCCGGCACGGGTTTGCATGTCGGCATCCTTTGGTGCTTGGCCGTGAGCTTGCGGACCAGCAGTCTAATGGCAACTGCTGTGTCGTCGAGTGATTGATCATCGCTTCGCCATCATGGCAACACCCTATAACTAAAACTAAGGAAGCCTTCCCCGCAAGCTACCGCCAATTATCAGCCGACACTCCTGGACGGAGCCGTGTGCGCGCGACCCAGCGTTCAGGCACCACGTCGCACGCACTGACGACCTCATGAGCTGCTGCCGACGGGAGTGGACAGTGCTCCGTGCGTCAGTACCGCCACGTTATCATTCACGGGAATAGCAAGCCGTATGTCAGATTCTGCAGGGCAGGGGAGAATTGAGAAAGATGAAAGTGCTCATCATGACGACGACGACCACAACGTGATGACGATGATGACGAGGATGATTGCGATGGCGATGGCCATGACGATATGGTGATCGCATGTGATGGTGGTGGCGATTGTGTGATGATGCGGGCAGGAAGTGAACACTCCCACAGAATTCGGACCGAATAAATGGCCGGCCCTACAACTCAATGGGACTAAGTCGGCAAAGTAACCGGACGAAGTGCACCCAAAAAGGGACGCATGTCTTCCAGTACGTCCGTGTGGAGTCAACCCACGTGTCACAGCTTTTTCCCATCTCGCTCGCTTCTTACTTCAACACACATGCCATTTGCAACGTGCCGCGAGCTGTTCAAGAAACTCGTGTTGGTCAAAGGCGAAATGCCGCGTGGAGTCATCCTTGCTAGACTGGGGCTTGCTGCCGGCATTCGGCAGCAAATGCCTGCAGACTGGGATAGTTTACAACGCCAAGCTCGACGACTGGACGCGTTGCTTTGAGCATGCGCAGCGCAGACTCCAGATCCATGCCTTGGTTCGCCATCAGACAGGCAGCTGCCATACCTGCAATGGAGAGAACAGGGGAGGGGACATGAGACTGGTTGACCAGGCCTTTCCCGCTACAACAAGCTCGCCCTCTGAGCCCCTCACACGAGGCACGGCCGCGGCCGCCCTTGCAGTGGATGTAGACGCGTCCACGCCCACCGGTGGCCTTGAGGCGAGCCCGGACGAATGCCACGCCATCCCGAAGATGCTCCAGGCTCGGCGGTGTGGTGTCCAGAGTTGGCAGCTGCAGCTGTTCAATCCCATGTTGTTTGTAGACCTCTCTCTTCCCGAAATCCCAGCGCCATGCCCAAAAAAAGCACTCTAAAGTTATTAAGGGGGAGATTGGGTTTACAAATGACTGCCCTAGATGTAGACCCAGAACCTGCCTCGACTGGCCCAGGCCACTCCTCCGTCATGTTCACCACGGAATGTACTTCATGCTCCAACAGAATCGGCACCTGGAAGAGGCTCTGAGGACGAAGGGAGTTTACATCAAGCGGCTATTTTCTCTGAAGCGGCTTTGAAGTTTAGGGTTCGACTCTCACAGCTTGGGCAATCCTAGGTTTGAGGATGCAGACTCTCGCCGCTAGTGGGTTCGGGGCATAAAGATTTACGGCTCAATCGTATAAGAACACTGACCCAAAGGGCGGAAGAGAAGAATTAATTCAAAGGGTTCGCATATGCTTGCAATACTTGCCACGGGTCACATGACGAGCCAGTGGACGCCCACCCATGCACAGTTCCGTGTTGATGTCAGAAACCAGCTCTCCATTCTTGCCGTTGAAGAAGAAAGGCCAAGGCAGAATCGATGAAAATGCCGTATCAGCTGCATAGCTAATCAATAGCAGCGGCGCATCCCAGAAACATTTAAGCAGAAGCCGGCCACCTGGCCAGATCGTGTCAGGAGTTGTACGGTTCAGGATCGACAGAAAAGTGAGCTTTGCCACGGCTGGGCCACAGCAGAGAACAGCTGGCAACTTGAAGTTCAGCCACAGCAAGGGCAAGGCAACACAGCTGCCCCACAACTGCACCCAAAGAGTCGCAGCCATGCCGTAAAGTCGCTCCGTTCGGGATTTCCGCCGGTTCAAGCCTTCGAGGCCCAGGGGGTACGCCTGGCACATGCTCGCAACGGCCCAGCTCAGTTCTTGCGGCCCCAGAGAGCAGAGGCCGATGCAGCCCAGGTCCACGCAAAGCATCACCGAGAGCCTCAACTCAAGAGAGCGGGTTTCCGAAAGTTTACACGTGTTCCTCCCGCATCTGGGCCTGGCGGGTGAGGACTTGCCGGGATGCCCTGGGCTCCAAACTCTCTTTTCCGACGGCCTCTATTTCACAAGACGCAACGGCTGCAGTAATGGCGAAAGCTTCAGCGGCGATGCAATGAAGCTGCTTTAGCTCCGTTCGAACCCAGTCTGAGACCATGAAACGCAAGGGCCTCTTGAAACCAATTCTAAAACCAAGATCTGGGGTAGGCTTCTGAAGAAACTCCGGCTATAAATCAGGCACTTGTGCCGCTTCTTAGAAACTGGCTGCAAGGCTCGTAAGGAAAGCTCTCCCACGTTGCATATTTTGCGGCTCCGGCACACAGACACAAGACTGACGCTGCTGGCCACAGAGGACTGGTGCAGGTTTCCATCCAGCAACGGCCGCTCGTGGCCGTTGGATGGCCCTTGGGCCATGGCTACACAGAAAGCCCCGGGGGCCTGGCCCCAGAGCCTGGAGTCCTGGAGCAATCACGGCACTCCGAAGATCGAGAAACTTGCTTGGCTTGGAGCTGCGAAGGCTTCGAAGGCTCAATGGAAAGAAGCCCGTGGCACGTGGTCTTCTGCTGCTTTCTCTGCCGCATGCGCCGACAACTCCGCGATGTCCTCATGCTGTTTGGCGTTCTGATTTCTGGACGAACCAAATCGCATCAAGACAGCGAGTCGCCCCTTGGGGGGCATCCGAGAAGCTCTGCACAGGCACTGGAGCACCCGAGCAGGAGCCGCTGTTCAACTTACAAAATTCCATGCAATGACCTCCATGGGAGTTTCCGAAAATGGGGGACCGCAATATAGTACCCTAGCATCCTTATTATAAGGACCCCGAAATAAGGGGCCCCTAATTTTTCGGAAACTCTCAGATAGCTACTGCCTCGCATCGTACACAGAGCCGGCCCATAAATGAAAGCTCTCTTCTTTGAGGCCAATGCTGCCTACACGATTTCGGGGTCCAACCGTCTGGCCACCCGTGAGATGCTGAGGACCACATGGCCACGTGAGGCGGCGCTGCTTTCGAAGTTCTATACACAGCAGCAACAGACTTCGTGACGCTACACCGCGTCGATCTGCATTTACTCAGCCATCAACCTCCATTACATCCTTGTGCACGAGCACTTCGGGCTGACCGCTGAGACACTGTCCAGATACCTGTGGATGCTGGAGAGCTCTCAGAGCCACGTCATGGCCTGCCTGTGCCGGGAGCCAGAGATTCAAATTTACGAGCTCCGTGTGGCACCGACTGTTGCATGTGTCCCTGACTCACCCTTGGTGATCAATATGTCACACATGGCGTCGATCAGCATTTTGGACGGGCACAGAGAGCCCCGGGAAACCTTCTGAATCGCAGTGCTGCAGACTGTTCAGCCTAAATTCAAAGCGACGGTGAACGAAGCGCCTGCTTCTTCGATGAGCATGCTTCTCCTGACGCAGAGCTCAGCTGCACCCGAGACCGTCTCACAGGGAACCCTGAGTCCGAAGCAGCGTCCCTGCGAGCCTGTCTCAGCCCTGGTATGTCCCGGTACGTCACTTACACAACGACGATGACGACAACGGCTTCAGTACTGCTACTGACCTTGCCTTCGAAGCGAAGCTGCAGCGGCTTGATGTGAAGGAAAGCGCAGAAGCCTCCTCCCGGCATGCTTTTGTACTCCCACCTCAGCTGCAAGAAGACGCTTGGCGTGCTCTTCTGCTGCCGTTTCTTGCATGCTGCTGAATACACCACCAACCCTGGACCGTCGGCCAAACGGCAGTTTGTTCAATGATGATGTCTTTCATTTTGCCATGCATGCAAGAAGCATAACGCCTCGAAAAAACCCATGGTTGCACGTTCTTGCGATGCAAGAATGGCCAAACAGTGGCAAAACCACGAGGTATATTTTTTGGACCCCAGCTCCAGAGCCGCATGACGACCGGATGAAACTTTCAATTTTGTTACTGCTTCTTGGATGACCGCTCATGAACCTCGAAGGGCTTGAGTGCAAGTGGGCAGCTCGAGCGTCTTGTCGCAGCTTTGACGGTAGGTCTTTTGGGCCCAATCCTGGGCATCGAATGGAGCGAGCCTTCTTTTGTTCTGGAGGGGCACCAGCGTAAACCCCTTCTGCTTGGTGAAGACCCCTCCCTAAACAGTAGTCTCTCATTGAGCTGAACCTGCCCTTGACTTGAAACGACCTGACCAAATGCCTTTCCCTGCAAAGAACCTCGAGCCGAAAGGAATTTTGTCTGGATCCGGCTGCACTCCTGAACGGTCTTTCAGACTCATCAAGTCACGATACGAGTGACTATGGAAGTATGGCGACTGCCACGGCCAAGGGCCTCTCAGACTTTGTCCAAGCGTCGCAGAGCCGGGACTTGGGCGGACCAGTCGACACGCTCGAAATACGCTTGGCAGCTGCTTCTGTTCGACCCGGGGCTGCGGGACACTTCCTTGCAGGGCTTCAGGTCGGAAGCGCAGCTCATTCTACTGAAGGGGCGTGTTGGACAGAACATGATCCGACAACTGGCTGAATTGTGGGACCAATTTCGCCCGCGCCAGCTGCGTTGCTTCCGTGGTCGGCTGGTTGTGGTTGTCCAAGCAATCCTGGCAAGATATTGCTGTCAGCACGCAAGACCCGACAGATACTGCCCACGAGAACCACACATCAGCTAACGGCACTGCAGGTTTGACCTGCGGAACGCCTTGCCACAAAACTCAAAGAATCACCAAGCCGCAGTCTGGCGAAGGCGTAGGGCGACTAGGAACCTCACACTCAACCACTTGCTGCAGGTTCTGGGTTGTGGGTGGAGATTGAATCTAGAGTCTAGACTAGAGCTCTGAAGCTTGGGGCAGGACATCAACTGCAACTCCCACAATTGCGATCAAGACATAGTGCCGGCACTTCAACACATGGGAGGGGAGTCGCAAGCACCAGGTGTTCGTGAAGCTTCCTTGTGTGGATATCGACAAGGTGAGAGAAAGCTTTTCGGATTGTGGGTCTTAGGCTGTCGTTCACGGAAGCGCTTGCACGTGTGTGACATGGCTTCTAAGGTTGAAGAGCTCATCGGACAGTGCTGCTTCATTCTGCCGCCAGAGGCCCCAATTCGCAGAGCCGAGCAACAGGAAACGAAGCTCGTCCTTCTCTCTCGTGGTGTACCTGAGTCTTTCGCTAAAACCCAGGAGATGGAACGTCGAGCTCGCTATGCTCGAGCTTTCAAGTGGGAGCTGCTCACCTCAGCCATGGACTCGGAACCTAAGAAGGCTGTTGACTCGCCCTGGAAAGCAGGGCGTAGACTCGTGTTAGACCAGAGTGCCATCAAGTCTTGTCGAAACCTGGGAGTTTCCGAAAAAATAAGAGTACCTTGCTTTGGGTCCCGAAAAGAGGATCCTACTATTTAGGGTCTCTCTCTAGATTTATTAGCGTCCCGTATTCTCGGAAACTCCCACCTTGGTCCACCTCGAAAGGTCAGAAACCCCCGCAAGCACTCAGCCCCCGCAACACCTGAGACTCAAAGCCACAAACGGGCGAGGACCTGCCAAGGTGCCGCTTGCGGCTCGGGTCGAAAACCTCCTCGGAGTCCTTGCTCCAACCGGCGGTCGTCAGCTCACTTATGCTCTCGGGCTGTGAAGATTGAGGGCTTTGGGGTTCAGGATCGGGTTGCGCCGGGATCACAAGCCGGCCGATACTCAGACACGCCTGTCAAGTCTCCTGGGCGGTGATCATCCTTTGGTTTGGTGCCAACTTGCGATTTACACGCTCATCTCAACTCAGGTGGGAGTTTTCGCAAATTAGAGGCACCTTATTTTGGAGTTCTTATAGCAAGGATCCTACTATTCAAAGTGCTATATTCGAGTCCTCTAGTTTCGGGAACTCCCAAGCTGCTCCGGTTCGTGCTGAGAGTCTCCAGCCCAGTAAGAGTCCACATCTTGGCGGCTTACCGTCTCCCAGCCTCAAGCGCCACAAAACGAAGGAGATGGCATCAAGATGCGCGGAGGTAATATAGGGGCCGTAATAATTAGAATAGGGAATAAGGTTTTGGGGCCCGTTACAAAATAATTATGATAAGGAACCCACAAAAGAGTATCGGTAATTATTTAGGCCCCTCAGGTAACAATCATCCGTAGCAAAACTACCATGCCATGTCAATGAACTGTAAGTCGTGAAAAGGGGCGCATGGGGCGCACAACCATGGAAGCACAACCAAACACAAAGGTCATCATGGCTATCACTATCAATATCTTAGTGCAAGCATGTTGAAGCGAACCAACCGCTGGCAACAGGGGTAACGGTGACACAGGTAAACACAATGCACCAAACTACAACAGTCATAAAAAGAACTAGTAACTTGAAATACTACTAAGGGTGACGTCAGTTCAGGTATGACAGGAAAAGAAAGCAAACAGGAACGACAATGAGTACGACCGCTAATTCGCAGCAGCAACATCAACCGCAGCAGCTGTGACTTGTGGAGCACCAGTACCAATCGCAGCAGCACTAAGAACAAATTCGAAGTAGGAAGCGCAACAGTGGCAGTAATGGCTTCAGCCGTTTGCAAGACAGCCTTAATCGAATGTCGGGGGGCCTCGTGGTGTTGGGTATCTGACATTCAAGATCCCCGACTCGTCGCGGCAAAACATGTCGTCAACGACGAAGCTGTCTGCAAGCACCTGTGGACATTCGACGACTGAAGTCTTCGGACCAATGGCTTCTGAGGCTCAGGCAAGGTTGGGAACGAATAGATGCCTGTAAGATTGGAGCCTCTTTCGAGTGAGTATTTCAAAACTCGGCCTCTGCGCAGTATCGGTTGACCAGCTCGCGACAGTTGTGCCTTAGATATCATCGCGGCACCGGATGCTCTTCAGACCCAGTGTGGGAGTGAAAACGGCTGCGAATGGATTCCTAGACCGGCAACACCACCTCGGACCGTTCCGAATTATCTCGTCGTCGCAGTCACGGGAAAATCCCTAACCCAAAGCATAAAACCCTTATGCTCAAGCTGCCAGGCTGCACATTAATCAGGCCGCTGTCACCCTCCACTTCAAGGAGCCCTGGCCCCAATCGTGGCCGCTTCGCGCGGCTCTCTGCCTCGAACCTTGCTTCAGCGCTGTGCGCTTGGGCTCTTCGGGCAAGTCAGATGTGGCGACTCAAACGACTTCCTGGACCTCTCTTCCACAAAACGCAACGTCACAGTGTATCCCACTGGGGATGACCGGATAAGGTGTTGGTTTTGGCCTTTCGGGGCATCGCGAGGTCACACTTCCCGATGCATTGCCTTGCCAAGAACTTTGCAGAGCCCGGCAGCTCGAGATCCTCCTCACGCAGCTCGGTCTCGGGCCGTTTCGCCAAAGCTGTCCTTCGCGATCTTGGGCTGCTGTACGGCTATCGGCTATCGGTGGCTCCGAATCCGAGGATCAATCTGCAAGCGCTGGGACCTTTGGGATGATTGGATGTTGCCATGTCAGTACAAAATCTGAATTCCGAAATGTGGGATTTAGATTACTTTTTGCGCTGGGCCGATCGTGCACACGGTCAGCGCCTGGCAGGTCCAGATCCCGGGAAGACAACAGTAACAGCTGGCGCTTGTTCACATGCCTGCCACAGGCCTAGCATGAGACAAGGAACTGCACTATGTCCCAGGACATGGGTTGAATCTGCAATCTTGACATCAGCATCTTGAAGCTGGGCATCATTCTTCTTTCAGCCGTCAACGCCAGCTGGGGATCATTCTTGAAGCAATACACCTGCATGGTTGCTTGGTCCAGCTATGGCTCCCAGGCTGCTTACCCCGGAAGAGGTAGATGGAGTACTCGCGACTTGCAAACGAGGAATATCTAGTGGGGCCGACGGAATCAGTTATGAGTTCTTGCAGATTGCAATGCAAACTGACCTAAGAGACCATGTTGTGGACTATTTTAATTGTATTCTGTTGGGGTCTACTCAAGTTCCTCGTGACTGGATTATCTCTAGGCTCACCTTTATACCTAAACTGGTTGCTCCCTCTACCCCTAAAGATCTTCGGCCAATAGTTTTATTTTATCTTCTGTTCCGGGCAAAATTTTCACCAAACTTCTCCTCTATCGTGTGAGGGCACATTTCCGCCTATGAGGGCAGGTCAGTTCAGCTGTATTCCAGGGGCCCAAACTCTTGAGGGCTCATGCGTCTCCAACAGTGTGTTAGGTTATCTAATGAATACGGACTCCCGCTTGTTGTAGCCAAACTGGATATAGCTAGCGCGTTTGACCACCTAGACCACCTTGCAGTCAGCAAATTCCTTCGACTCATCGGCCCTCATCGAGAAGCTGAAGTCCTGCTACTCATCATTTCCGATTCGACAGTACTCCTTAGTATGGCAGACCATGACTGGTCTCAGGATATTGGTAGGGGTATCCTGCAAGGCTCCTCATATAGTGGGGAACTTTTCGCTAGGACGGTTGAGTATTACCTAGGTGAGGTCACTGAAAAGTGGCAACTTGAAGAATCTACCTGGATTTGCATGGAATTGCCTGATGGTGGGCAACTTAAGCTTTTCAACATCGCAGCGAACAGAACAGCTTTATGACACAGCCATACGGTCTTAGGACAAACCCACTGAGTTCATAGACCGCCAGCCTTCAGACCGGGACTCCGCCCACGTGCAGCCGTCTGAGGGTGCGCCTGCCTTGGGACTTAAGGTCTGGGACTCTGGTCGGTAATAATGAAAAAAATGGTGCCATACCGCGAAGGATTCTCAGACAAGCCTTGCTATGAAATGCCAAGGTGGCGGTGTGCGATACTCATCAAAGTGAACCACCAGCTTGCACTCCGGCAGGTTGGCAACATTCGTCGACACCAAAACAGCTAGGTCACCCGATCGGAATCGGGACAAGGTGTCGTTCCGCTGCTCTTTGGTCATGTTTCCACAAATATACCCTGTCGGTGCTGTAAGCCATTCGGACAAGATGTGTGCCAGAGGGCCGGAGATGGCCCCATCCTTGACCAGGACGAGGCACCGCTTCCTCTCTGTCAAGTCCTGGAGGCTGCGCGAAACCACTCTCCAGCAAAGCTCCCAAAAGACAACAAACAAAGCTGCGCCTAAGGTCCCCTGCAGTCCTCAGTCACGATTTCCATGAGCTTCTCAGCTTTGGCGGAATACTTGGGAATTGAAAACCAGTCCAGACTCTGCTCTTGTGCATAGAGCTCCAAAGTCGGCCTTACGAGAAAATTATCGTGATTCATGCAACAACGGTTCTAGTAAGACATCTGGTGACCGTTGTTTTGTTGTAGACAGTGTTTGTTCATCGTCCAAAGAGCTGTTTGTACTAAAGGTCCTCATGCGGACACTGCTTCAGTTGTGTAGCAAAGGCTCAAGCCCAACCAGCGAGCTTTGCCCGTCCCGGGTCTAAAAAGGATTGAAAATGTTGTGGTAACTAGTAACATACCTGGCACTGTGAAACTTAATACAATAAGCACTGAACTGTTAACAGCCAGTATGCTTAACTCTGCAATATCGACTTCTGCATCAGGCCGGAGGCGGGCAAGAATGCGGTGCTGCCGACTGCCACAGCTAGGTTCATCCCAGAAAGCTATGTACGTGATGCACATATAGAAGGAAAGGAGCAGCACCAAGTAGGAATCAAAACAGCGATTGTGGGGCAGTTTCCTGGCGAGGAATAGGATTTCGTTGTTGTGGCGTGATGACAACGATGGTGACGACTGGAAGGCTGGGATTTGACGGTCAGTCTTACTCTGGTGGGTCAGCGTGTTGTGAAATCTTTAACTTTGTCGCTGCTACAGGTACTACTACGTTACTACATTACTGTTGCTATCATTACTACTAGTAGGTTCATCTTCTGAAGCTTTCCTTGTGTCCACGGGGCACTGCTTCCAGTAGCAACTCTTGCAGCGCCGGAAGTGTTCGCTCCAAAGCCTCTGCCTCCTGTCCTGGGAGCAAAAGGCTTGCTAAGGCAATATAGCATCGTCATGACCGCTATGACCGGCACCTGTGGCCTGAATGCGAGCCTGAAGTTTTTACAATTCGGCACAGCTGCTGCGTTCTGGACAATCTTGCGTGTGCTGTCTGAGCGTGGAAATCTTGCCCTGCAGCTGCGCCCTGGCTCCCTTCGTGATGGCGAACAAGAACGCATCCTTCGATCTTGGAGTTCGGCTTTCTTTTGAAGTCCCATCTTTCCATCTTTGGGCATCCGACTACGTCGCAAACAGGCGAAATACTTTGAGCTCTGCCACCCCTGTATGCGAAGAGCCAAGAACCTCCAAACTCTGCGAAACAACTGAAGTTTTAACCCGATTCACCCTCGACCAAGATCTCCGGCGAGATGCCCTGCCAAGTTGCTCAAAAACCTTGGGGAGCTGGCAAAGGATGCGCGGGATGTCCTTGATGCTGGCGACCGTACCCAACCTGCAGGACAGTCTTCGAGGCAGCCGGGGGCTTCTGAAAGCGTTGCGCTCGGGTTGTAACGACAAGCCGCCGGGCCGGCCTTTCGGTGCATTTCCGTACCAGGCCCCTTGGAAAGAAACAGTGGGTCGACTGCTTTGGGCGCGAAGCAAAACCCAGGACCCGGAGCGGCGAGCCAAGCATGCAAGGTGTCATGTGAGCATGCCAATCTCATCAAGTAGCAGCACCCAAGCATGGAGAAACTTGACACACTTGCCATGTTCCTCTCCTTCTGGTGCAACATCCACCTGCGCCACCCGAGACTCTAGGAGACTCGAGCATGCATGCCGCTGGCGACTAGACTGTGCATGTCTCAAATATGAAGAGTATGAATGATTTATCTAGCCCGGCAATCAATACCACCAAGTGCCAGCAGCGATAGCAGCAGCAGCAGCCACAACCACGACGACCATCATCAGCATGCTTGTCGTCAGCGGTTCCATCTCTGGTGTTTCCTATCACCATCACCTCTTGGCAACAATGGACCTGCGTAAAGGCATCGTCTTCGGAGCAATTGCCATGATACTCGTCCGAGGCATCAGGAATATAGAGACTGGCGCGAAATAGTCGCTGGAGCTGCTGCCTCGAATCTGCCAGATATCTTGTCCAGTACCAAAACTATGCCGTACTGTAACTATGCAGTCTCCACTGGCGCGCGTCAAAGTGCGATGAAGCCGTTCTAATACAAAGTAACGACAATCACGTAAGCCACCACGGACGAGGAACATGCATGCATGCATCTCGAGCTCTCCACGCCCCAAGCTCTCCTCGAAGCTTCGAGAACTGTGCAAGAAAGCTGCGAACGAAGAAGCGCTCCCAGTGTCCCTTGCCCCCTCCTTGGAAGGCTTTGTCGTAAACCCGGCAATGCGGATCGAGGCCGAGGTCTCGCTGCAGAAAGGGTGAAGTACATCGTGACAGATGCCTGCCATCCTTGCGGTCGGTACGTGAAAAAGGTGCAAAAAGCCGCAAAAGCTCGAAGCTATTCCAACTAAGAGTCGCATCGCCTCGAACTGCACGGTCACAGTCATCGAAGACCAGGAAGCAGAAGCTCTTCAGGCTGAGAAACCTGTCATGTCCCCGAAAAGGATAGCTCCGGCCATCAAGGTAAGGTCACCACACTCCTCAGTCATACTTTCACTCCAAGTCGTAACAAACAGACTAGCGACGCGTTGGTGAGCGCGTGGTAAAAGATATCAGGCGTCCCGACCAGTATGTGGTTCGATTCCTCAGCTAGAGCGCAACAGGCACTGCGCCACGATAGGATGAATCCCACTTCAAAAACAAACATCCACTGATCTCCCCGTGGGCCATTATATTATCACCACGGCAGAAACTGAGAGTCATCAGCCTAGACCCCAGTGGTGTGCAGTGTATACGCTGACGGAACACGTAGCCGACTTGGTTTGGCTGCAGACACAGCTGACCACTACATTTTGCAAACGAGGCTGTGGCAAATTTCGACCAGCGGACACGCGCGGAACTGTAACCGGAAGATGATATCCCACATTTTGCACGACATTGCAATGGAGAGCGGTGTTGACTTTCGTGAAGAACTCCTAAACCATAAATGAACGAAAACATGGTTCCAGACAACACCAAGCGCGAGGGGACAAATATGTCACTTTGAGCCAAACCGGACACGAAGAAACTGCGCCTTTCTCCATCCGACAACACACCAAAATGCGCACGGGGCTGCGCCGGAGTGCGATTACTGCACGACTCAAGAATTCATCCAGTTCCCAACCTTCAATTGCTGGTGTTCCCGTATGCAGTCTGGAGTGTACAAAAACCCTATCTTCGTCCACTGCACTACAGCTGGAGCCGCAGTGCCCGCCGCCCATAGTGTTACCAGTGACAACCATTAGTAAACAACGGCAAAAACAGGGTGCGGATATCCTGCTTATCGCTGCCGGGGGTTCCATGCACTCGTCCCATTTCTCCTTCGACCAGCTCTTCTCCAACTTCCCCAGCTGCGCCACCTCAGGTTCGCACAGCCGTTGCAGAAGTTTGAGGCCAAGGACCCAATAGTGACCAGTGAGCCGTCCCAAGCATAGCTTCGTGGTCTGTTGTGTGGAACCATCGGTGTCTGTAAGTCGAGAGACATGCAGTTTGCCCGCACAGTGCCGCTGGAGAATCTTGGTCTTGTGCTGGATGCAATCCGGAATCACAAGCATGACCTGAGGAGCTACTGGGCTTCCAAGCGGAGTGCCACATAACTGTGTTGTACAGACCTGATGGACACCACAATAGGAAAAAACAGTGCACCGCACTGACATCAATAGCCTAAATTACGACTCATGGACTGCCATCGCCTGCGTAGCAAAACAAAGCTGCACCAAATACAAAGGTTCAACGTAAGAACAACTGCCATGATCTGCCATGCTCGCATGCAACCCACCGCGGTCGAAAATCTCAACCTAATCGAGGCTCCCGGTTGGCATCGGCCGGCGCATCAAAGCGGAGACGGTCGATGCAGCGGACGATCACCATCGCCTTGCCTGTTGTGGCAGCTCACACCCACAAGTTGGTTCCGCCATTAGTTGTGCTCACCACATTCCGTTATCAATCCTGCATTCTTCCGTTCTGTGCTGTGCTGTGTCTAAGATGTCTGAACAAATCGCACAGCCGCCACTTGCCCAATCTTATGTACAGGATAAAACAATTCGCGATGATGCATGGCTTCATGCGAGGAGCGAACGTACAAACCAACTCAGCAACAAATCTATAAATGTGCCTTCGTTGCAGGGAAGGAAGAGTATGGTATTCTTGTCCACGATCCGCTTGCAGCAGCTTGTCTGACATTCATCGGCCCCTAAGTTTTAATCTTCCACTATTCTGATCACTGCAGCAACGGCGACGAAATGGGAATGCTGTCAAGCAGCACAGTCCACGCGTCGCACCCATAGCAAGAAGATCTACGACGTGGGTCGCGGAGGCAACTATTCTTGCGGAGCCGACAGCGGCACCAGTGACGTCGAATCAAACCGGAATCGGGTTGTTAACACGAACACGAAAGCTGGGAACCCTAAGCATCCTCCCACGAACATGTTCATTTGGGAAGCATACACCAGAGGAATGCCTAGGAACGACCGTGGGTCACGGTCAGAACTGTGAAACAAGCTGTGCAAAGAACGGGATGTGTGGATGCCACACATCGTGCAACTATGTACGAACGTCAACCGCATCACAATGCATCACATCTCACACGCCTCTGCGGCTTAGCAAACGGTAGCAACAAACTGCACATTGTACACCAAATCAGTACATATGTGAGAATGCAGTCAACCGCCATGTTTAAAGCCGGTCCACGTGGACACGCTCTCACCATCGTGCCAAAAAGAGGTCGGAGACCCACCCATACCCACGGGTCGTGAAGTTTGCTTTTCTGGATGCGATTGATGATTCCGCAGCACAACTCCGCAACGGGCAAGTTCTTGTCCAGTTCAGTGGGCCCGAAGGATGAAGGAGGTTTAGCGTTCGCGCTAAGCTTCCTGACATTCTGGCCTGCGTTTTTCGTGCCCTTGCATTGCGAGACTCTTGATGATGGCACGGCACAGAGAGAGAGAGAGAGAGAGAGAGAGAGAGAGAGAGAGAGAGAGAGAGAGAGAGAGAGACGCCGCAACGTTAGTGTTTCGATCAATTTATTCCGACACGGTAGTTATTTCCTTTTTACCTAACTCGCAAGTCCAAGTCCCCGTGCAACCTGCGCGCTACGGGCCGAGGCGGCTGGGGCTGGGAGGGATTGCATCGTGCAGTACGTCCTCGAGCGGCGGGTGCTGCGCGCCAGGCAGGGCGCCAGCGACGGGAATTTTCCTACGTCGTGCTACTCCCTTCTTGCCTTCCCGGTTTGGTACCACATTAGATCACATTAGCAAGCTGTAAATGCAAGAAAGCGGGCTTCTAGGTTTGCATACCACCTGAATGATTTGCTCGGACAGCCGTGGATTGGATGCTGTCTTATCTCCAGCCATTTCCCGCTGATTGCTGAAAGCCATCCAAAACAAATGTTGGAGCCAACTCGGGTTCATGTCAAGAACGACCGTTTTACCTAAGTGTCATCGTTCTGTTTCACGTCCGTGCTATGCATCTCATGGCCTTACATAATTTTGAGCCCTATTTATATCTTCTCATTACCCGGCTCTGGTGCCACTCCTGCGATCCCAGCAATCGTCAAACCCGACCCTGACGGCCCACTGCCACCCGAAATTGTCGGCCACCGGCCCGATGACCCATGCGCTTCCCCGCTGGCCAGTTTTTCTCAAAGGCACAGACGAGCACTTCCGCGCGCTGGACGACGAGGTGGACGATCTGCTCGGCCCGCTGGTACTTTCGCACGCAAGCTAGCAGCACAGGTTTCTATTTTTTTTTGTCTGACACTTTTTTCTGCCCGCGGACGGTCAGGGCGCCCCAGTCCTATTTTTTAGCTCCTACAACTCGTGAAGCCAACACGCCGCCCTCCAGCAGGGCGTAAGTAACGCTGCGAGGAAGCGGCTTTGCGCACCCTTCTTACAACCGGACCCAGTGCACTTGGAATCTACGTCGTGCCTGCACTGCGGGAGTCGGCTCGGGGCAAGGGAGTGCAGCCAGCGATCGTCTTGCAAGGCCTCATGCGCAGCCGGCTCGCCGGCACCAGAGGCGACGGTGCTGGCGAGAGCCCTTTGCGCCGCGACGGCAATGATGCTGCTCCAGTTGGACACATAGGCCGCACACGAGCCGACCTTACGGAAGCGTGGGCACGCAACGCTTGCACGCACGCGAGGAGCCTGAGGAATGGCTCGGGGCCCCAGCGGCCACCAACCTCGACAGCGAACACAAGAAGGTGGCAGTGCCGCGAGCGTGCTCGGGGTAGGTGTCGCGACGCTTACGCCGGGCGGCTTGCTGAAGCGAGGGCGCGCTGTTTTTTGTTGTACCTTTTGCGACTGGAGTTCCGCGGTCCCTGTGCAAGAAATGCAAGAAGCAGGCACTGCTGCACGCCCGAATCCAACGCTGCAGCTCACTGGTGCACGGGGCAAACCAAACTATCCAGAAGTGAGGGCCGGTATGGTTGCACGCCGCAACGGACAAGGCACGGCACGGGCCCGGCAGCGAGCAAGGGGGCGTCGAACTGGGCAGCTGCGGACTCCAGCGGCCTCCAACCTCAAATGCAAGGACAACAAGCCGGCACCTCTGCGAGCGCAGTAGCTCGGAGTAGGTAGCCCTGCGGGCAGGCGGAGCCTCCATACGAGCAAGCCAGCGTTGGGAAACACATTCACTGTTGTCATATCATATGAAATTAAAATGCGACATTGCGCAAATCAGGGGCAGTAACACGATGCAACACCGCCCACATTGCCATAGGGCTTCTGGTAACACGTTGCGTAAGGTGCGAATGCAATCGTTCAAACGCCTTAGCGGCAACGTCAATTTTTTGGCACTCCCAATGCGAGGCGGTGTCCGCCAACTCATACCATTTCTGCCGAAAGGATCCTTGTAAGCGACGGCTCAAAACATTCGCTGCCGCCTCATCAGCTTGAGCATTTAAGGCACGCATGTGATCTGCGCAATGGTTCGGGGATGTGCGGGGGAGGGGTCCAACTGGGTGATTCGCCAGGAGATGGTACCCAAATCCAGGTGTGCCCGATGCCTGCTTGCCCCGCTTGTTGCAGCAGTTGGCGAATATCTCTGACCAGGCACGTGCATGCGGTGTGGCCGTCAATTGCTTGTGCAGCCAGGATGGCGGTCTGGCAATCAGTGAGGAGACAAACGTGGCCTTTCGCACCACATTTGGCAGCTTGGGTCATGCCTTTGGCGGCATATAGAATCGCCTTCAACTCTTGTTTGAACGGAGACTGGTCCTCCGAACCATCACCCGAGGCAAAAAATAGATCAGCGTCAGAAACAACCACCCCGAAAGCACCTACATCATTTTTGCTGCCCCCCCCATCAGTGGCTACGTAAATGTTGGTTGAAGCACGAAATTGACTATGCATCGCCTCTTCAACGGACTGGACAAAGTGCCTCTGGCAGCATACTGGGGCAGCTACCTTGCAGGCGGAAAAGAAGCGCGTGAAAAAAAAAAATCGTTCGGATTCATTTCAAGAGGTGCGGCAAAACGGCGTGGAACGTGCTTGCAAAATAAGCGCTCCTCCGCCCTATCGCGTGGTGGCTCAAGACCTGCTCTTTCGGCGGTGTGCTAGCACACCCATGTTATTTGCGGCCTGCTGGGTTGGGATGCTCCGCACATGCATTTCCAGCGCTGGTGATCAGCGGGGTAGTGGCCCCCAGCATTTAGGAACCAACAAGTACCACCGGTAACAACCGAGGCGTGATGAAGGTAATTAGGAACTTTGTCACCCATCATTGCAAATGTTGTGCCCACGAAATGCATAGACATGATGAGCCGTGGGCGCCGGAAGCTGGAGGCCTCTTGCAAGCTCTTGGCCTTCGCGGTGTAACGATTTTACCACCCGCCCAGTGAGCTGTACATACAGTCGGCGATAATGGTGCAAGAGCCGTTGCCTCACACAGCGAAACAAATCATACCCGATCTTAAGTCTCCGACATCCACCCTCCGAGTCAAACATCACCATTCGCGTACAACTGCCAACCCAAGCAGCTCCACTGGCATCGAGGAGCCAGGAGGCCACAAGGGTGGCGTCGACAGCGAGAGCTCGGGGTGGATGTTGAAGAGATCGCGCACGAAAACATTGCAGGCAACGCTAGCCCCGGCTTCGCAGCATTTTTTTCCACAAGCGATCGCGTCATTGTCGAAGAAACGCCCACCTGAGCGGAAAGCGACTCGGCCCGTCCGGTCCTGCTAGCGCGTCCCGCCCCGCTGTGCTGCGCGGGAACAACCATGAGGCGGCTTGTCGCCGGGAGCGGTTTGACTCGGTATGGCTTCATCCCAGACGTGGCGGCGGGGCGCTTCGCCGCGCAGGAAGGCAACAGCCTCAACGACGGCAATAATCCAGGTCAATCCAAAACGCCCAGGAACCCGTGTAGCCCACCACATCTAATTCGAGCGTGTCGCCTTCCTCCAAAGTTAGGGAGAAGCTCGCAAGACGCGGCAGGCATTCGGTTCGCGAAGCTGCGCGGCGGGGGTTCCCACGCCAGGCGACGAACTGCTCCAACAGCAAGCCCGATGCAGCGGCACGTGTGCGGACCAGCCTCCCTTCCTTGCACTTCTCCTGCCCGCCTGATCGGCCAGCACGATCAGCGATTCCGACTCCATGCAGGAGACCTGGCATACCGCACCGGTAGGCCCGGACGGAGTCTGACGCTGGCAAAAGTGGTTACCACGACGGTTCTCATGTGTTTTGATTGCTTGCCGAAACCACCACGTTGATTTCAAATATACATTCAAAACAAGTGCTCAGCCGTTTCGATTTTAGCTCTAATTGAACTTAATCCGAGCTTCTGAATAAAAAGATCCCTCACATTTAAAGAAAATTTTTTGGCTCCGGAGTGGCTCCGAAGAGGCGTTTCAATTACGTGAGGATTTCGTGCCGGGAAAATACCCCACATTTAAAGAAAATGTTTTTGGCCCGAAATTTTTGTGGGATGCAAAGCTCTGCAGTGGCTCTTCATTTCTGCAACTGGAGCTGCTCGCCGATCTCCAATCTACTAGTGCAACTAGCTTGAAACTGGTCTTTGCCATTGCTTGCTTGCTTCTTTAATACACAAGCAAAGCTTCTGTGGGAACCGGCCCTTTCCTTTCAGCAGAGGCTGCCCTCCGAGGCCAAGCTTTTTCCAAAAGTTCAGGGATCGCAGAAAGCTAGCTTTCCTTATTCATTCGCTTATCCGGGGAAGCAATTTTTCATTCTCTCCTGACCTACCCCTTACTACGGGGCCTGCCCGCAGGCACACCGAAACACATTTATCAAAGGGTTCACATTTGTAGGAAGCCGGCCGGTCCCGGCCGAGCT